ACACCGGGGGACAAGGGGAAAATATCCATCTTTGGAAAATCTTTCTCCACCCCTTGACAAATGCATCCTCTGAAAGTTCCTAAAATTCTCAAATTCTTTGCGTGCATTTCTCGTTACGGTAGGCCAATTTCCTCTATAAATTGCACATTTTAGGGAGTTTTCATCAATTCCGATTAGAATTAAAAACACAAAAATATTTTGCGTGCTTGGCGCGCATTTTTTAGGGCTTTTTTAGTTTTATCCTTTTTTAAACACATAATAGTTCCAAACTCAAGAAATACAAATTTAAGATAGAACATTTTAACCTAAAAGAAGGGCCTCAATGTGTATAGATGGTGAAAGAATATGTTTGTAATAAATAAAAACCATGATGAAAATGCTTATATTTAGTTTCAAACACACGTGTGTGGCCTATATTATAAATAAGATAAGCCATGTCGTATTGTTTTCTATATGGGGAGTGGGGTGGGGTGGGGTGGATATGGTAAATTACTAACCGGGAAATGAGGATTGTATGTTATTATTAATATTATTATTATTATTATTATTGTTATTATTATTATTATTATTATGTTGTAATGATGTTGTTTGTACTGTTCTTTAATTTTATTAAAGAGGGCCCCTGAATATCAGTTAACCTACTGGGCTAAGGGTTACCCTCTTTAAAGATGGGTGAAATAAAAAATTAAAAAAATATATACCCACTCTGACCCAAGACCCCTGTTACGCGCCTGGTGTTAGCGCCAATGTGTGCCCTTGTGCGGACAGGAGATGTGCCCCTCTCTGAAGCTAGACACCTTGTTTTTGCAAAATAAGTTGATGCAATTTGCTATTATAGGCCTAATCAATAAATTCCTCATCAACCGATATAACCTTAAACATTCTTGGAATTGACATAACATAATACTGATGTCGTACACACCCTTCAGTGTGAAATGTGGCTCTCTTTGCAAGCACATCTAACATCTAAGGAAAGAAGAGCTTAGATTGGTACCAGATAAAATAATTTTGTTATCAACATTAATACATTATGCTAATTTTCATCTTTGTAAGCGCATAAGACAGTGCAAATTATTTCTGTGACAGTCATTTGAAGTGTGTAAAGCTCCATTTTATCCCATACATAGTCCAAATATTGGGGGGGGATATATCCCCCCCCCATCCTCCCCGGGATCTATGCCTATGCATAATATAGATGCAGTAGTTTAAAAGGGCAGGGAGTTTTCTCAGCTAAGATTCTGGCAGTGGAAGGAATTCTACCAGAGAACTAGAGTGTCTGTTGTAATGCAACTGTTGGTCTTGATCAATATATTTAATTGTCCTTTTCAAAAATAATCACCATGTTTCTAATCCCTTAATTGTCAGTCCCATTACAAGACAATCTGAAAACTAGGTTTTGTAATGTTATTGATTTGTTGGGAGTGCAATATAAATACATGTTGTACAGTAAATAGGATCAAAACCCTGTGAGCAGTGGATCTCACATAGGCTCAGTTGTCTACATCAGTGGCGTGTCTAGGGGGTGCACGGGATGGGGGCGCCCTCGGAGTTGAATCAAAAATTCACTTTGGCCCTCTGATTTTAATGCCCACTCCTGTTTTAGGCTAGCGTATGAAATTTTATGGCGCCACTAGATGTCCAAAATTTGTTTTATTCTTAAAAATTTAGCAGGCTCGAGCACGGCAGGTTCCCTAATAAATCTGCCTCTGACAGTAACTTTCTAGTAATTTAATAGTGAAGTGGCCCTAATATTTTGACAAGTACAGTGTAAAAACCAACACTCAAGTCTGCTAAGTGGTAATTCAAGTCTGTTATAGTTTTCAGTAAAATATGTAGTGCAAGAATCTTATATCTTGAAATGACTATGCAACCCTTCCTTCCCCCATTATGTTAGTGATATAAGTAAACCCTGTCATTGATTAATGAATGTTTTTATATTATCATTGATGGTGGTGATAAAGTTTATTAATACAAATTAAATATGAAAATTTGGATAAGACTTATGATATGCAATTACAAAGTAATCATTTATTTGGGGTTAACTGTTTACTCTAGTAACATAATACCTTGTTTCTGAACAACCAAAGTATTTTATCTTTATGTAAATATCGACTGTTTACAAACAGTGGTTAGGTAAAGATAAGAAACATGGTTTTGCATTACATCCACTCATATTCGGCTGTGATATATGAGCTTATGAGATATATGAGGTTTATGAGAGGCCAGGAGAATGGACAAGCACTAGGACACTTTGTCTGTAATGGAACGAACAATGTCATCTCCAAGAGAAGTTGTTGCTCCTCCTCGTCGTCGTAAACGGAAAAGGAGAGTTGTAAAAAAGAAAGGACTTTTACAGAAGATTTTTAAAACTGTGATTGAGTTTGAGTATGTGTTTAAAATAGTTCAACTTTCATGTGTGATCAAATTTGGAAAGTTTATTATCAAGTACAAAGTATTTCATTCTAACAAAGAAAAAATGTGATCAATTGCGTAATTGATTCTTTGATCGGTTGGTATGATTGATTGATTCATTCATTATTTCTTTTAGTGCCAGAGCCTGTGGGATTCTGCAGACGTTGGAGAAGCTGAATAGTCAGAGCTCCGACGATGTGGAACAAATACGATATCTGACAGCACGTCTGCAAGTCCTCATACGTGATCAAGGTAATTATTTATTAATCATATTTTAATTAGGCTGATCTAGCTAGTGCTACGTTATTCTTTTGGGAACTTTGTCCTTTAAGGCAACCATTCTAAACTGGCAATAGTCCTAGCGCACCGTCTTTCGGATGAGACGTTTAAGCCGTTGGTCCCACGTGCCTTTATGGCCCATGTGCACGTTAAAGAACGCAGTACACACTTCGGAAAAGAGTAGAGGAATTGTCTCTCAGTGTACTGTCCAATCACCACCAGAAGGACCTTACTGGAAATAAGTCTTCTTCTAGATTTCCATGGGCTATTTTGTCGTACTGTCTTTAGATGTAAAGTAGAGCACATAAAATTTTTATGTATTGTTATCCAGAGTAACTTAATAAGTGGGATTTGAATACTAATGATATCGTTGCATGAGCATCAAAATGGTTATTTGCATTATGCATTCTTAAATGTGCTAGTGTTTAAGGAGTATCTTGTCACTGTATACTGCTTATGTTAGACCTGTGTTAGAGTATGAAGTACCTGTATGGCAAGGGTCTCTAGCTGTTCATAATAGTAATTCTATAGAACATGCGCAAAAAGGAACTGTTAAATTCTTATAATAAATATGCCAATGGTTGTACCATGTTGAATCTGCCAACTCTAGAACGTTGTAAATTTCTTTCTTTAAGTACTGATAAGAAATTTTTCTGATATCTTTAAAGATATTCTCCTATGGTATTATTCTTATCAATGCCGTAACTAGATGAATGAATTCCTCCATGAATAAATAAAATTCAAGAAACATGATCACATTGTACAATGCAATCTGTATAACAATGGCCTATTATATTTATACGAGTTGACAGATATTGTGAAATACATAAAAAGATCTTGTAGGCCTAATTAAATAAAACATGTGTTATGAATACACAGGGTACAGTATGCTTTTCCATGAATAAATTAAGTGCAAGAGTCACGAACACATTACTGTACTGTATGTAATGCAATGGATAACAATGACTGTAGGCCTATCATTATACGAGTTAATGGATATTGTGAAATACATATAAAAAAAGATGTAGGCCTGATTAAATAGAACATAGTGTTATGAATACACAGGGTATAATAGGCTATGCATTATTTAAATAAACCTATTAATTATCTTTTGAATTAGAACGACAAGTGAATACGTTCAAGTTTCAAATAACAGACTGCTGGTATAGGTTTTTATTATTCAATTTGAATAATTAAATAAATCAACTTATTATGTAGCACTCTTTACCTTACAGTGCTTTTTCCCTTGGTCATTGGATACATAATCAATCATACATAATGTGCAACTGTGCTCTCGTGAGGAAGTTTAACATGTTATAGATGAGGGAAATGTATGCTCTCAGTGATGTTCGGTATTCCGAACATCTTTGTTGTTTTTAAATTTTTATTATTTGTTTTCAAGTTTAATTCTTTTTCCTTTGTCGTTTACTGCATTTAGAATTTTTTAGTTTTAAGTTTTGTTTACTTCGTATTATATTTATTTACTTTTAATTGAATAAGGGTCACTCAGGGAATTGACATGGGCATTTCATCTGTCATTTCACTTTATTGAGGCATTATTTCATATAATACTTTGATGAGGGTGGGTGTTGCTTGTCAAATGCTTGAGTGACGTTTACTCAATTTGTACTTTGTTTTCTTTAGTGTACTGTATTCTGTTTGAAGTTTTATTTTTGGACGCACCTTTATCATGTAAAGTGTGCCACTGTTTCAAAAGTGTAGTTTCCAAATAAATTTTTATTATTAACCTCCTCCGCTATCAGGGTAGTATTCATTCTGAATCATTTACAGGACCTCCTACCAGGTACCCATTTATATTCCTGGGTGAAGAGAGGCAAATGCAAGTCTAAGTATATTGCCTAAGTACACAAACAGTATGACAAGCATCAGTCTCGAACCCCCGACTTTCTGATGGAAAGTCCACCACCTTACATGCTGTACCATACTTTCGCAATTAATAGACAAGCAGGACATGTAGGTATTCCTCCATGGACAGATCTACCAGGGGATAATGTATACTTAATAGAGCAATAAGAATCAGGGGAATCAACTTGGAGTGGAGGATCAATGTTAGAATGAGGCGTACATTTCTACAGGGTCCAACTCAGGTCCTACAGTACAGCCCTGATCAGAGTGCAAGGACAAAAGCCAGAGAAAAATCAGCAGTTTTGTTTAGATGTAGACAATAGATATGTTCAGACGACCTTCCGTCTGAAATAAAGTTACGACAAACGTAAAGTTTTACGTGTGTTACTTCCATCAAGTGTCCACATGATGGGTACCCAGTACAACCAGTTCAAAGCTTAGAACTACCCAGGGCTTACGACAAGTAAAGTGCTACTTCAAAGCTTACTTCTGACTCGTCTGAACGTGCCTAAATTTGAGTAGTTTTTATATTTAGTCTTAATGGGTAATACTTCTAGACACTGAAGAGATCAGTGAGGTCTTTAGGAAGATAGAGACCCACAGTTCTGATGTTATTTTGATTGTATAACATGTACTATCAATGGCAAGTTTGAAATTAGTTATTTAATCTAATCATTGTTGCTTTGCACCGCACTGGAATTGTTGATTTTATGAGTGACGTGCGTGAAAATCAATATCCCCCTCCTCCCCCCATCCGAAAAGCCTGGAGATTCTCACCCCGTTGTACGATGCCACAACAAGGTTGTCGCCTACAGTAACTAAAATATTAATTTTGAAGATGTGGAAATATATATAGAAATCCATACATGCCTCCAAGAATGTTTGAGAGCGGCCTACATTATGATTGTCCAGCTATTCAAATAACTATGGATTGTCTAGAACAGTAGTAATTATTCTTGTTTGCTTTGTAAGTACCAAATAGCAGCTTGAAAATCTTTTGTTAACTTTAACCAAACAGAATTCTTTCAAAGGAGTTTAAGGTCATGTCTAACCGATAACCATTAAGATAGTGGACACTGTAATTATAGTGTGTACACGTAGTAAATAATGATTTTATGAACAAACTGCAAGAATGTGTGCCTTTGTATTGCTTTCATGTATATTATGGGAATGGTATGGATGATATATTGCTTTTCTATAGCACAACAGTAAGGCAAGACATTTTTATACCTTGTTTAGCTAACCATCTGACCACCAAAAATGGTGATTTTGAAATTTAATTTTTAAAAATGTTATATTTACTTTTATTATGCCCTCCACTCTCCTGAAATCTCCAAAAATAAGATATACTGTATAAAAAAAATTTTGCTAAATTTTGTTTCTATTTCGTCCTCCTCTGATGGTCTTTAAAAAAATAAGTTCACGGAACAATTTGTAAAAAAAGTCTTGCCTTAAAATATTGTTGAAAGATGAAAAATTAACTACAATTTTGGAATATTCTTAACTGCCCAAATAATTGATTATTATGTGCATATAGGCACTTCATCACCAAGGCTTGATTTACATGCATTATGTTGATTTACATGCATTATGTGATGTGGGTATCTAACTTAATGTAAATGAAAATTGTACTTAAAATATGAATAATGTATTAACAGAAGGTATCATGTTTAATTATTTGTATTTGAAATATTATTACTGTATACTATACTGTAAGCTCATTTTAAAATAATGTCAAGTGTCAATAATCTATGAACTCTGGCTTAAATACAGACCTACATACCTTTTTCATTATTTGATAGTATTTGTGTTTATTGTTCAATATTTTCAATATTCATATATAATGAGTTTTTTTTCTGTTCTGGGTGTGGTACTGTATCTTCCAATGATTACTGTACCTCTTCAGATTTTTGTTCCCACTCCTTTTATACCAATCATGTTACATGTACATCGACAGAACGATATTTTGACTGCATTGGATATACTGTAGTGTAGTGGTTGGCGAAGGTGGCAGGGGCCATCCAGCCTTGAAGTTTTCCACCCAGCCTAAAGCTAATTTCATGGCCCTCCACCCACCTTTGTTAACCTAATTGCCCTTGCAAAATCCTCTCTCATTATTAAAAGTTTACCAATATAAAGTTTACCCACCCATAAAATGTCTACAACCCTGGACTTGTTTATAGTTTGCTGTTTACATTATGAATATCTTACAATGATTATTTTTTCTTTCTCTTCACAGAAAAAGTAAGAAAAGATGTTGTATCAAAGACATCAAATGGATTAAGTATACTTTTAGCTACATTAGAGGTAAGTTGTTCTTTTAAATATTATTCTTTTAGACCGTGTTTCTGCAACACTTAAATTTCTCCGATAATTTCTCTCATAAATTATCTTAAAATTCCCTCCAAATTTTTTATCCCATCATGCAAAATTATGGACCACAATGCAATGTGTTCAAAATCAAAAAATCTGTTCTGTTGACCTAGCAGGTGACCCTTATTTTGCGCGAGACAGGTAGACTGAGGCCAAGAACGAAATCGTTTGGTACTACATTATACCCTGGGAAATGTATTGCCTCAATGGTGTTTGATTGTGCTGCATTTCTATATAAAAAGGGATTGAAAAGAAGACTAAAAAGAATGCTAGCTTTGTTCAATGTGCTTTACGGTACAATAAATGATAGGTAGGGATAGACCTAGCTAGGCCGATCTAGACACCGTTGACGATGAACGCAACCGTTTCAGGCTTTTTTTAGATCTAATAACCACAGAAAATTTACTCAATTTCTTATTATCAAGTGTTTAAAATACTAGGCCTAGGCCCCTAGTCCTACTAACTATTTTAGTTTCCTTAAAACTAACTACCCAGAATAATTCTTTTCATAACTGTGATTTGACTTCGTCGAAGGTTATTTATTTTCGCATTCAGAGCTTTTTCCGATAAATTATCTGATTCTCATATGCAAATTTATCAGATAATTTGGGACCCGTTTCCGCAGCGAAAAATTACAAAATGGCCGCTTTCCGATAATTTATCGGATAATAAGTGCTGCAGAAACACAGCCTTAGCATTTACCTTTTAGGAGTATTGTGAATGAAAAATAAAAATAATTATAATGAATTAAAAAGTGTGTGAATATTTTTTTTCATGTCAGAGTTCAAAGGATACTCAAGTGTCCATCAATATTGTGCAATGTTTTCTGGAGCTGCTGCATTCTGGGAAAAGAGCCTCGCTCTTGGTATCCAATGGTGCAACTCAGATTCTACTGAATATGCTCTGCTCTACATCCCAACAACTACCAGTGAATGAGGAATTGATGAAGATGCTCCATCAAGTACTAGCCAAGATTGGGCCAAAAGGTAGAGATCATTTAAAATGTCAAGTCATTTAAAAAAATATACGTTCAACAATTTATGCTTAAAATGTTTAACTAGAAGTGGTTGGGCGCAGTAGGAACGTTTTGGTTTCCCAACCTCAAGGTCGGGTTTTCAATACTTAACTGTGCATTTCACTTGTGTCCTTGAGCAAGCCACTTTTATCTGGGGTATAAGTGGTTACCTGGTAGGGTTAAATGCCAAAATGTATTGAGTATTTAGCTACTGAACTTTTTCATGATTGACAAAAGAAAGTAAATTTCTGTTCAGATATATACATTACATAGATTATAACATTTGCTATCTATATAAAGTGTTTACTTCATATCAATTTCTCATCAAGTTTTTCCTAATTTTTCAATAGATCGTAAGTTTGGTGTAAAAGCGAGGTTATGTGGCGCATTGTCTATCACTCTTGGAATTATCCGAACACATACCAGCTCATTCTCTGTCCTTCTGCCATGTTTACTAGTGCTCAAAGTCTATACCACTAATGGTAAGTTCTTTTTACAACTAATGTTAAGTCTTTCATACCGGTAATGGTAAGGAATTATATTGATATTGTATTGTTAAGCATCATGTGTTGTGAAAGGGATTGCCACATTAAACCTGTGATATATTCAATATTGCCATCCTAAAGCTGCAATCGCTCTGGACTTAAAAACGATTTTATCAAGACTGTAGGTAACATTCCAATAGGTGAATCACACTTTTAATTGTGTTAATTCTACAGTGATTGCGGCTTTAGTCTGTGTGCATAAATATAATAACTAATTTTTCTAAAGAAAAAACAAACCCTTTTCATACCATATACCAGTATTTTAAGTACCGTAATTGAAAATATTACCAATATTACTGAATTTTGAGAGTTGTTGAGTGTATTATTTAATCTTTGGGATAACTTTTTATTTATAAGTGCTTGTATTATGTTTTAAGTATATAGTATTTTAAATTTTACATGTGTTTATAGCTTATTATACTATAACTGGAATTAATATAGTTTATATGTCTATGATTTGACTACAATTGGTTTATTAACATTACCGTTTGTCAATTGTCAGTGTACAGTATTCAAACCGGAAATACTTTGATTAATTTGTGGTTATTTTTCATTTTTTTGCAGCTGTTAATTGTTCATACCTTGGTAAATCCGGAGCTGTTAGTGTTATGCTGAAAATAATCACTATTTGCAATCGAAAACAACATCATGTAATGAAGTATGTAATGATTAGTTAATTATATCTAATTTAACCTCCATATTATTAAAACAGTTTTAGTTGACACTAAAAAAAATGATTTCATTTCGTATTCTTAAGAAGAAGTTTGACAACAACTTTGATTAATTCTAGCTGACTTTGAATAAGTTGTTACATGCACAACCCAATAGACCCCTTCCAGAATGTCAATCAAACTAAGCAACTGACCAATCAGAACATGGGCAGGAATATGCCCCCATGTCTCACAAGCACTCTTGTCCGCAAAAATGCTGTGTTTGCGTTATGTTTTTTACCCTGTCCTTATATATCCAAGGAGTGGGGCTTAGTGAAAAGGTCTACAGTATTATATTTCTAGTCAGACGAGTGCAGACTATTAATGAAGACAAGTAAGGATCTTTATCTTACAGCCTTGATCACTCCATAGTTTTCTACAGAGCAATAAACCTTGCAATGTAAAAAGTATAATTCTTTTGAACTCATGTGCCGGTCAAAATTCCCCCAGTACTCTTGTATTTCCTCCTAACACCCTTTCCTGTTTTCTTCTTTATTTGTTTGGGTTGTTTTTTTTCTGTTTTGCCTTCCTTGTGTGTCCAGACTTTTAATGTTGCAGTCCATCTTATCTCATTTGCTAACATCTATAATGTCCTTCCGGAGTGTCAATCTATTATGTCTCTATATTTTTTAATTTTCAATCTATTTTAAAATTTGTTCATTCATTTGTGTTACAGACACGCTTTAGACACCCTTGGTCATCTAGTTAAATCAAGTAAGTGATTATTATTTTTTTAATATATAAAAATAGGTGTATGTAAGTAAATGAAGCCAAACATTACATACTAATTTGAGAGTAAATACTAGGATGTGTATCACAACTAATAATGAAATATAAGGGTAGGTTGCTGATAGAGTGGAAGTTAAGTGGAGGGCTAAAGCTTAAACATGAGTAAGCATTTCACAGTGGATGGCAATGAGTAAATTTACAGTTCAAGATATTGTTGGAAAGCAGCGCTGATTAGATAATTTCTACTGCCGATAACCTAACTTAATAGCAAATTAGCTTAGAACAATACATTTCATTTTTTAACATGAATGTATAGTTTAATATTATATATAGCAATTATAACACATTTGTTCTTGTATATAAAAAAACTATTTTTTAGAAAGCAATTCTGCAAGAGCCATTGGTCAAGGTGGAATGACCGTCCTACTGTCCACTTACATGGAGTGGCACAAGGGAGATACACGTCAACGGCATGTGAATATACGCAAAGGAATTCTAGTTTCCCTAAAACATGTTACAACTTTGAGTAAGTTATTTAATATATTTTATTTCCAATGTAACTGATAATTGAAGATTGTTTTACTCATGGTGCATTTATCAGACTTATTCCTCCATGATATATTATTATTATACATTCATTTGTTTGATTAAAATTTAGCTGATGATGAAAGAAAGGTCTATAAGATCTCATTTCCCAGCAATTCTTCTAACCTACTGGTTTACCTACCAAATTTTTAAAGAGCTTGTTCTTTGTTGCGGCATGTGTCAAAAGTGACAGCAAACTCATGCTTGCATTGTTATGGAGGTTAGAAAAGTTTTAATACCATGTTTATCAGTTGCTTAGTTAAATTCCAGATAGTTTTGTTAAATTCTGTGAATTTGTTGTCCTCCATTGTAGAATCCGGGCGAAAAGCTTTCATTGAAGCCGATGGAATTAAGATTATGTACGCTGCTGCCAAGGAAATGTCGGAAAGTAAGTAGCTACTCAAAGTTTCAACCATTTTTTTCAATTCCAAGAATATTTTATTTACCTAATAAATAAACCATGAGCATCATTAGATAGAGTATGGGGCTACTCTGGTAAACTGGGCTATCTAGCCCTTGCTGTGTTTTGGAAAGACGAGAGGGTGTCCACCAGCTGATACAGACGCAAAATAACGTTATGGTGAAAAAGAAGTATTTGAGTGAGCTTCAGTCGTGTGAGCAATTCAGCCAGGTCAATAAGCTCTGCCTACACTATCAAATATGTCCATATTTGGGTATAATATGACATCATCGTGCCCATATATGTCGCATAAAATTTTATAGTGTGGTCAGAACTTTATAGCTGCAAGTCACATGTTTATTCGCTAACTTTACGAGTCGAATGGCCGAGCAGTTAAGGCAGGGTTGCTGCAACGTAGCCTACAGCCATAATATCGGTGCTGGTTCGAACTATGGTTCTGGTGGTGAAACAAGTCTTCTCGGATACGGACTATAAACTGTAGGCCGAGTGTACACAATTTGGCTGATGTGCACTTTAAAGAACCCAAGTACATCTTTCGAAAGGAGTAGGGGGTCACCCGGTGTACTGGTTCATACAGCCCCTGTTGTGGACAGACGAGAGTAGCTGGTACCGATTTACCGGGTAGCTCAAACATGAAGAGACACTTAGGGGAGAAGCAAGTTACTGTATGAGCTAGTCCACACCTTCTAGCCCTTGCTTTGAGACTTCGGTATAAAGCGCAATTACATTTACCTTTGAAGCGCTAATAATACTTTCATGATGTTTGCCTTGATCTTACAATACCAACACTAATTGTTTATCTTCCCCAGTGTGTGTTCCAGGAAAAGATCTGGAATCCCTCACAACCTCCATAAGCGTGATTCTGCGAAAGTGTTTCCCAAGGAATCGTCTCCCAGTTCCGACCATCAAGAGTTGCGTTCCTTTCTCACTGCCGGAGTCACCAACCATGAAAAAAGTTGAAGATGTGATAACAGGTATTAATATGCAAATATAGTAAAAGTTCAGAGAAAACTGTAGAAAATAGAAGCTGTAGGAGCCATTATTTCCCCCAAAAAATAATGCCGGAAGCTTGCAGGGCTGAAGAATTTTTTTGACGGCTAAGGCTTTTATCTCCAAGTGTCCGAAATAACAATAATTGGTTTATAAGTCACCTTGGTTCATTTGTATACATTTTAATCAAACTCATCATATACAGTATACATTAATTTAACAATGGATTCCTAATAAATTTATGGTTTGGTAAAGTTTTTCATTATCATTTTAAAAGTTGAAATTTGTGTGTATATATATTTTCCTTTTTGTTCTATTTATAGGTGATGATGTCATTGATGAGAGTGATGATGGAGATGATGACCTTAGCAGCGAGGAGGAAACAAGTAAAGAACCTGAGGTAAGGTACTAATAGAAGGAGAAGGAATTATTTCTTAGTTTATTCTGGAATCCAGTTTTCATATTTGAGATACCGTTTGCCCTCCAATTCAAAACAACCTTTGTGACCTAAAAATTTGTGGTGGTCTCAATGTTCAGTTTCCACATAGAGGGTTAGCTTAGTTAATAGATTTAAGAGTGTTATTTGGTTTTTTGAAAAAATGGTCTCGGAATTAGAGGGGTCTTGCATTGGAGTGTGCACTGTATAAATATTTCATTAAAAGGTGTTGGATTTCCATGTATATAAATAAATTTAGGAAAAGGTATTTGATATATTTTTACTTAATTGGAATTGAATCTTTTGTTTTTTCACATAACCCCAGGAAGTGGTTGATCTTCAGGTAAGACCTTTACACACAGTGCAACTGCAAATGGATTTTCCAATATTATAAAAAAATATTCTGTAGATCGTATGAATTATCGATTATAATTAAGCTAGTGTTGAATTAATATTAAACTGTTTTGTTGTATTTTTCAAATCAATTTTTGTACTAATCTTTTTACTAAAAGTGTACATTCAATCAGTGATAGCATAAAGACGATTAACAACTAAACAATAGAAAATATTAGTAATACTAATTAGCAACTGCCGTAAATGATCAAATAAAGGCCTGTCTCGAAAAAGTAGCTTTTCGAATAACAAACGTACCAAACAAGATTTTTTTTCTGTAAGCACCACTCTCGATTAAGCGTCGCAGCATTTATCAGATAAATTATTTTAAATGAGTGTAGAAGTGCTGAATATATGACTTGATAAAAATATTGATAACTTGTGCTTTTTTAAAAGAGCATTTTGAGCATTTTATTTATCTTATAAAAGTATAAGTTTATACTTGATTTTTTGTGGCAGTATATTTTAAATATTACATATTGTATAATGTTGCTGTTGACTATATTGTTGTTGTTGTAGTTATTATTGTATTACAGATGTTATAGTAGATAATTAATTTGTATTTTTTGACAACATGAAATATATACAGTATTTATATATTGTTTATATTTAAGGTTACATAGTGATTGTTGTAAGGCTATTGCCTTTGAAAAGATTTTCCCACCTTCTCATTCTGGTGGATTAAAATAAAAATTCATTCATTCTCACAATGATTTTAAAGTCAATTAGTTCGAAAACACTTTATTTAGCCGCCAGTGGTATTGGTTGGTACATTTTAAAATGTTATTTATTTATTTGTTTATTTACTTTTAATAATTTATATATTTATTTATTATTTATTAGTTATTTAAATCACAAGAATGCCTCACAAAAGAAGTGTTTCTATGGTTGAATAGTAATTTTTATGTGTATTGCTATTGCCTAAATTTTATAATTCTCAACAAATTGCGATAATTTCTACCGACGCAGGAGGCTAGTTTGATTGACAAGGCTGACGTACCTGACCTCGACAGCAGTCCTGTTAAGAAACTAGCGACCTCTGACCAGCGCTGCCTCTGCAAAGATTGTCTGCAACTGGTATGCCCTGTGTCTGATTCTGTTTTATTGTCAGTTTAGTTGTAGAAATTTGAGGTGGAATATTTATATTAGAAGGAATGCATGTTTTGTGTGCATTTCTGTTGGTTACATAGTGAATGTATTCCATCTAACGGGATGTCCATGAGAATATCTTTCTTTTCATAATAATGTTTCATGATATCAGATTATGTAATACAGTTTCATGACAGTTAATTATAATACTTTTGGTGTTATATTTCAGTGCAAATATAATTCTGAGAAATTAGTGAAATATTATATTTTGGAAAATACTTACTTTGATGTGTTTCCCATGCACGTGTGAGTTCAGTTGTCATGCACAGCTTTTTTTTTTTGTTTATGCTGAGCTTTCATCCAGGGTAGCCTCAGAATTCCTGCAGGCCACCCTTGAGGTTTGCCCAGGGTAGCCAAAGGATTCATCAAGGGTAGCTTGGATCTTTTGTCCAAGGCAGCCTGAAGATTCTTCCAGGGTAGCTTCAAGTTTCTTTTAGGGTAGCCTAAGCTTACCCCCATAGTTGCCTGAGGTGGTTTCTCCATGATAGCCTGAGGTTTCTTCCAAGGGAACATTTGGCCTCATGACATCTTTTTTTAGTTTTTTCTTCTCCATCCTAACTTTCAGAATGTTTTTACACCAATTATTCATTTTGTTTTGTTTTTGGTAATATGTGTATGTATAAATTTGTAGTTAATCCTCATGGTTTTTAATTTCATTTATTCCCATATTTTATGTCTTCCTAAACAAAAGCACAAGTGAAATCACATAACCTAAATTTACTGTTTTTAAATTGATATCTTCTATGTAAACCATAATACATTGAGAAATTGGATAGACAATCGATGAATATAACCTACTATACAACATTTTTCAACTAATGAATTCAAAATTCTGATTAATATTTTTTTTAAATTTTAACCATGCTAGTATAATAAAATATTATTGATACTGACATGTTATCATAATCATCAAAGATAATGTCAGTCTGAATGTAAGTTCCATCTCAGAAGAAGTTCATATTATTTTGATTAGAAGCTTCTTGAGATTAAGCTACAGGACTTCTACTCAAGGTTTTACAGTATTCCATTAAATCTAACAATGTAATTTCTATGTGGAATTTGCATGACATCCTTTACATTGTTTATCATTTTTGTACTAACCCAGTGTTTGATGTGTTCTTGTTCCTACTCTAGTTTTACCAACCTTCATAACTAATATATATTTTATATTTTACTGATTATTATTAACAAAATTTTAATATAAAGCTACGGGCTCAACTTGCATTAAGTGATGTATCTATTATTTTGATGCGTTTATATATTTTAAATACATAAAATATTGCTTAATACTTTTTTGATGATTTTCAAATAATTTTGTAAAGATTTTTTCCTAATACAATTTGATAGATTCATGATAGGCTGGTTTTTTTTCTTAATATAATATTAAAATTTGTACTGTATTTAGTTTATGATATACCAGAGACTGTTTTTATTTACTATTGATATTTATTGATATATACAGATACAGATTAAAATTGTGTTTACTTTATGATATACCAGAGACTGTTTTTATTTACTATTGATATACTTATTGATATATAATGTGTTGATGAATTATAATGGTGTGTCTTTTTAAAATTTTCTAGATGTAGAATTTTAACTATTTAGTATAAATGATTTGATATGATAAATACTTGTTGATTGATTAATTTCTAATAATATTCTTTTGATTTACTTGTAGGAGATTGAAGTGGATTGTTCACTATACACTTGTAAGCGTTCTTCACAAGATCTTCAGATGTACAGCGAGTTTTTCCCTGAGTTGGTAGAATTTGAGGAGGTGGGATGTGTGTTATAATTACTGTCTTTTATTATTATTGTTATTATTACTAAAATGTGTTGTTAATATTTTTACAATAATTTAAATTTTTTTAAATTATTTTTTCATATTATTGTTACAAATATTTTTTTAATTTAGATTATTACAGCAGATGACAGTGTTGAAAAAAGTAACCAAGAAATGAGAGAAGAAGGTGCTGATATAGCGCCTACCCCAATTGTTATTCCTACGGGTTCTGTCGAAATTACTGAAGTACAGTCATCAGAATCTGTCTTAAAGAACAAACAGAATGGCATGGGTACAAAACAATTTGAGGAAAAGAGATTGAGCTTACCAAACTTGCCCAAATACCAGAATCCTCACGTGTCTGAAGACGACACAATGGATCATACGTTGATTAATGGTAGCCGCCTGGAGAAATCATCACGATCTACGACAGCAACAAGTAGATCAGCAAAACCTAGTAACATGTCACCCTTGTCTGACCCTGTAAATGGTAGAGTTAGTACATTTGTTCAACGAGGAAAGCAATCAAAGAGTATAAAGTCAACAAAGGGAAGAAAATCTCCGGTAAAGATGCGCAAACTTTCAAAATCTTTGCCGCTTCTGAAGCATTTGAGTCCTGAACGACAAATTTCGCGAGCAAAGTCGGACCCTTGCGCTAATCAGTCATTTGACACGATTGCTTCATCGATGATAGTATCTAGAATGAGTTTACGGAGTCCAGAAAAACAAGATAGACCATTTGAAAGTGCATTGGGCTACTCAAATGACATAAACATGAATATTTGTCCGGAAATGTACTTTAAACTAGCAGAGTCTACTAAATCAGTTTTACCCATGAACAAATTAAGTTATTCCGATGTCCACGGACATGTGAGCCCGTCATTTAGTGAACAGTGTAATGAAAAACAGAGCAATATACAAAAGTAAGTATATTTTTTTGTACGTCCTAAATTGTGGCTTGCAACACTGTATGATGGCAGAGTAGCTTAGCTCAGTCGGTTAAGTCAGTTTTATCCATGAACAAGTTAAGTTTTTCTGATGTCCACGGACATGTGAGCATTTAGTGAACAGTATAATGAAAAACAGAGCAATATACAAAAAGTAAGTGTATATTTTGTAGGTCATAAATAATTGATTTTGATCTGTATGCGTGGCACAGTAGCTTAGCTCAGTTGGCTAAACTGGTGGCAGTCACCGTGTGTGTGCGATGAACCATGGAGATGGACATAACCTCAGTTCCTAGCTCAATTCCATCACTGCTGTTCTTGTGTTTTCACTGGAGGGCTTAAATGCAATTTTCAATAGTGCACTGTCTTTCTGAAGAGAAATTCAAGCCATGGGTTTCCACACAGTAAATCAACGTACACAATAAAGGAAACAGTACATTCAGAAATGGACAGGCGATTGGACATCTTCTAGTGTCCTGCACCATTCACCACTTTATAAATACTTCGCAGCTTCATGGGCAGTGGCGTATCTACAGTAGCAGACTTAAAATTGTGGGGGGGAGGGGGGTTTGCTGACGGCGAGCGAAGGTGAAGTGGAAAGGGTCAATGATTAGGTGAGTGGGCACTAGCTCACAAAATAAGGTGAAATGAGGTGATTCTTATCACTGCTTGAGCATAATTAGTTTGCCTCAAACATTTTCAATTTTAGGGAGCGAGGGCGACTAGGGGCATGTTCCCCTACTCTTGCGAATCCCCTAGATATGCCACTGGTCATGGGTGGGGGGTGGGGGATGGGCTAGAAAAGTACAAAAGCAATGTTTCATATCATTTATATGTCATTTCCTTTTTCACTTGGATTTGCCAAATAATTTTCATATGGAGTATTTATACTACTAGTCTGCTGAGGTGATTCATCTACCATGTATCTTTAAACTGATGTGAGCCCTCTATCAGAATATTAAAACTATGTATGCTGATTAAAATCAAAGAATGGAAAAAAAAGTTAGCTTTAATTATTTGTAAAAAATGTGTAAGATAGCAATTGTGTAATATTTTATATTGAAGTATAATGATACTATTGATTTCTTTTTTGTTACTTTTATATTCTGTAGAAATAATATCTAACATTTCTTTTTACTTTAATTCCGCAGATCCTTGGTATTTGAGGATATAGATCGATTGATCAATCCGGAAGAGATTATTGACCATGTGGTGTATGACCTTGATTCCATAATGACTGGGGACGAATCCACCTTGAATGCCAACCCACTTTCGCCAAAATTAACCCAGTGAGCTTTAAAAAATTGAATTTTAAATTGTTGTTTCATGTGTAACTTTGTATGAAATGAAATAAAATAATGAGGTTTTTGTAATGTTTCTTTTCATTATAATAGGGTAGCAAATGGTACTGCAAATGGACTGAAATTCAACTCGCTGTTTGAGTGCGGCAATTTGCGAAAAGCTATCTGGGTAATTGTTTATCTTTTTATCCCCCTTCATTCATTTCTTTACTATCATACAAATGCAAAACTTTTCTCTATCACTTCATTTAAGATTCATCCCCAGGAAAATGTTAGTGAGAAAAAGTTGGATTGAGGGTAGGGTCAATTCTGGTGGTGGGTAAAGCTAAAGTATGTACAGCATTAACACAAGAAAATAAAAATGAGATTGGCAAAAGTTGAATGTAAGAGAAGGAAGCGTAAGAATACAAAAACAATATTGGATTGTATTCAGTCTAATGACCATCTCACTTTCAAACACCATATGTTGGATTTTATTTATTTCATTTGTTTATTTATCCTAATTTTAATTTTTGATTAAACTGCAAAGCAAGTTTATGTATCATTTCCATCCATGTTAGGTCCGCCAACATGAGTACGACCTGATCTTGAACTCCGACGTCAACAGTAATCATCATCATCAATGGTTTTACTTTGAAGTGTCTAACATGAAACCAGGAGTGCTGTACAGATTCAACATCGTTAACTGTGAGAAGCCCAATAGTCAGTTCAACTTTGGTAGGTGCTAGAGCTCAATTTCAGCAGGATATCTCATCCTGGACAATTTATAATAAGTTACAAAATAATCTGAGATTACGAACCCTCGCCCTGTTGCCCAAATATCTGTATGGAAAAATTAATGTCATTTAATTGCATGCCGGCTGGACTGCATCCAGTCCACTGGCCACAATTTAAATCACCCGAACTCTGGCCTGCTGTCCATCCGCTCGAGTCCTCACGGCCTAACCAAACAAGGCCAAACAATCCACTCGAGTTGGCTCTGTCAGCTGTTGAGGTCGGAAAATATATAAATAACATTCTAAAATCAGCATCTTAATTGAGCACCAAATTTAAGTAGGACCAAGCTACATGTAACATTGTCAGTGTGTGAAAGTAATTGGAAGGTCACACACAGACAAACAGACAGACTCAGATGCACGCTATTGCAATACTCTTCAAATCTTCTTCTGAGAGGCAAGGGTAATAAGCATTAATAAAATATTATAATTGTTTTTATTATTTGTATTGAAGGAATGCAGCCAGTGATGTATTCAGTGAAAGAGGCTATGCAAGGAAGACCGAGCTGGAAAAGATCCGGAACTAACATCTGCTACTACAGGAATCACTTCTCCAGAAGCTCAGCTGCCACCGGAGGTCAAAAGGGCAAGAGCTACTTTACGTTGAGTTTCAGCATCAGCTTCCAAGATGAAGATGACATCTGCTACCTGGCCTACCACTATCCCTACTCATATACAATGCTACAGGTAAGGTTACAGATAAGCATTGTATTTGTTACTGGTCAGAAACAATACAAAATTGGAAGATCAACTCTTCAAATCTGAAAACAATCACTTAAGCGACCTCCTATCATTCATTGCTTCTCTACACCTATGGCTACGGTCACACTAGAATCTCAAGCCTGGATTGACTCACTACCGTTGAGCTCTCATGCATGAAATATGACTGGTGGTCATATTTACCTGGGTTGACCTTGTTTGACATAGTTCAGATAGTAGAAATCCTTGAGCATAAACATTGTACTGCCACCTGTGATTGGTCACATTTTGAAATTGTAGGTTAATCCAGGGTCAATCTATATATTTTGCCTGGGTTGAGAGCATTTTCAAGCCAGGCATGAGTCAATCCAGGTTGGTTCAGACTACAAATTTGTCAACCATAGTGAGTCAAGTCAGGCTTGAGGCTGTAGTTTGACCATAGCCTATATATTTTTTGTCAAAATATTTAATAAATAAAGCATTAGGTATTGTCTGTTGTGTACTTTTGAGGAGTCAAAAGTCTTGCACCACAATTTCCTGGGAGAGTGAGGTGGTTGCACACTGAGCATGATAGCTTGAGGTATCCAATTACAGAGTTTTTGAAATTCAACCTAATGTATGGATCTTCATCAACTTTAGCCTGCTTAGTAGAGATTTTTGAGTTTAAGGTGGTTGATTTTAGACCACATTTGTGTCAGTCTGCAATCACTGTGAATTTGGTTGGATTGGCAAATTAATTTTTTGTCCATGACTCCAATTGATGTCCTACAACAAGGAGTGCATGCTTGTCTGACGAAATTAGCCCACCTTGACTGGCACCACCACTGGTCATTATAATTATCGTTCATTATCGTCATCATCACATTTCCCATCATTATGAACATAATTCACATCGTTATTGTTGTCAGCATAATTGTCATTGTCATAATTAATCATTCTTCATTGCTATAATTGTTGAATTCTTAATGTACCTCAAATACAATTGATAAATTTTCTTAATTAAAAAAAATAGTAATAATTGATAATATCAAATTCTTCTTTCACAGGCTCATTTGTGGAAACTGGAATCAAATTTAGGAGAATTCAGCAACATATATTATAAACGACAGAAACTGTGTCTGACCATCGGTGGAAACGTTTGTCCAGTCCTCACTATTACCGCAAACCCTTTAACTTTTGATAAGGATGGCATTCAACAATTCAGTAAGTATGAAATTTGCCTTGAAAGGAAGGTATATCATTATGCTCACGATTACCATTGTGATTTTTATATTCTTTGTCAAGTCATTGTTAATATTATAATTACATAATCGGCACAGATTGGTATAATTGTGTGCAGTTAAATGACAAGAAGTGTTAACAATGACAATTATTATGATTATTTAATATAAAATCAGATAATCTTCTCTCATTGACACTCAGTCGAAATAACATGTAATTTTTTTTTTAGAAAACAATATTATAAATATTCGATATAATAAATTCACCAGAGGGTATATTCAAATTGAAATGATATTTGACAAGTATACACGATCCCCAGCTGTGGACCTTAGCTCAGTGAAAGTACACTCGCATAGATTATAGAAGAGAATTCAACCGCTGTTGAATATGGTTGTTTAATGATGGAGTCATAACTCCCCGGTTATTTCTTGTTAAACAGTTAGTTGGTGCTGCCATTACTGTACTCATTAAAAGTACATAAAATCGTACAGAAATGCATAATAATGGTAATCGGATTTTTATTCCCTGTTATTATTATTTGCTTGTGCGGCATGTTTTGATGTTGGTATGGTATTCTGCTCCTACTTCCTGTTCTGTCATTTTAATTACTACCCAGGAGTAAGGTTTAAACACCTTGTTTGACTTCAATTTGTGGGGTTCAACAAAGTACATGTTCATATATGCTTATTTATTATTACTTAAAACCATAGTAATAAGCAGTGGTGTATCTAGGGGTGCACGGGGAGCGCACGCCCCTCCAAAGATTACTCGCGCTTCCCCAGTCGATCCCCAAAATTCACAGTCAAGCAGTTTAAAATCACCGAAAATCCAACTTATTTTGCAAGTTAGTGCCCCTCAACCGGCTACTCATTTATTTAGCCCCCCTCCACTTCACCTTCACGCCCCCCCCCCCATCAGCACCCCTACTTTAAGATTTCTAGATACATCACTGGTAATAAGTTACCTCTCCAACATCGATTCAGCAATGCCTCCTCGTTAGTGTGTATGTGTAGGCAGATACTTGGAGGGCAGTGACTTTAAAAGTTTGCAGTATCATGAGTTTCAGCCAGGAGCATGCTTAGCTTGAAGATTCATTACCAAGCACTGCAAAAGGTAGCGAGTACGCTACCTGCTCTATTTAAAGATAGCACAGACAATGATACACTGAACTTGGTGGATATTTCTATTAGAATGAATGTAGAATTTATGCGCTTATCAGAATGAATGGATGTAGAATATATTTGTTTCTAGGTTTATCCTATATGCCTATAAAATCATATACATGTATACATAAATATATTATAATACATAAACACACAATACATATTGTATTATGTAATATACAATTATAAAATATACATTAAATAATAACAATGTTATCTTATAATGTCCATCCTGTAAGTGGCGATTTTTCGCTGTTGGTGTGGAAATAAATAAATTTAAAAAAAAAAAAAAATGTATACATATTCATCTCAGAGAGCTGCTAGCAGTTCCATTTTTTACCTGCAAATGAGGGTATTCTTTTCTGATTCAAAAAGTTTGTTATAATTTATTTTATATGTTGTTTAGTAATTTTATGTAATACACTTATATATTTTACATTTACAATCACAGCTTCACAAGCAATTCCCCTTATAAGAATATAGCACCCCAGCATAAGAGTACTTCCTAATGAAAACAGAGCCTCTTGGTAAGTGTCAACCACCATCCCAATGGAGTATCATGAACTATTTCCCAAAGCAGTTCAAGCTGTAATCCAAAGTAGATTGACACGTTATCTCTGTCCTCTTTTATGTAATGTATTTGCATACAGTTGATATTAACTCCTCCATGATCCATAGTGCAGGTGACATAATTGATGCAGTGTATGTCTGTTGATCATAACAAGTCAACTTGACTGGCATTAATCATTTATCCCAAGCAAGAACTAATGCACGATAAAAAGCTTCTTGTCTTAGGCTCTCGTTTTATTTTGCCTTCGACAATTCAAAAATCGTTGGATAAAACCTTGCATTTGTGACTATATCAATTCAGTCTTAACAATATATTATAAATACTGATCCTAATATTAATAATAATACTGATACTAATATTAATGATGATAATAATAATATAATAGCTTTAGTAATACTAATATTAATAATAATACTAATGACGAAGATAATTATAATAATATATAATTATGATAATAATAATAACAATATTAATAGTATCAACAGTAATACGTATGATTATAATACTTGTGTACTATGAACATGAATACGAACTGAATATGAACTGTGTTTAATTTGTAAGTGCACCTTTTAAGGTCATTAGTTCAATAATGCTATTTTTTTTCAAGTTGCTACTAAACACTTGTAAATAATTGTTTTGATTGACATTTTGACTATGTCTAAAGCCTGGCCCACTCTGTGCCAAACGATCGTCAGCCGACGTGATTCTATAGAGAACGCCACAACGTGAGCGCATTGGATCCTTTTTAATGACGCTCTCAGGGAGTGGAGTTGGATATGTTTTACAACGGTCCTTCGACAGCTTTAGTTGCTCATTTACAGTAGACTGTGATAAAAACAAAAAAAAACTTCATTTTATATTGATTAGGTGAGAAAAGGTGCTTGGTTTTATGTAGGTTTCCACTATTTGATATTCACTCAAAGTACTGTAGATCTGAATTATGGTCACTTTATGGTAGATCAAGTCATTATTACCATCTGGTATTTGCCTAATTTGAGCCATTACGTTTGTGCTTACTGTGTACTTAATTAGATTCTCACCCATGTTAGGGCAATACATGTTTCATTTTTATCACATTTTCCAAGAATAAGTGCTTCTACCATAATCTCTATTTTTGTTATGTATAATTTGTATCTGTAAATGTGTAATTTGTATCTGTTGTGCTACATTTATTGTTAATTGTGTTCCTTAGAGTTTGGTTAGTTATATATTAAACATTGTGGAAAATACAACTTTTAAGGAACTATGATGCAGATGGTATATTGTTGGTGCTACAATTTATGCATAGACAAATAATTTTCTTCTTATGAAGTAAATATTAAATAAATAATATTTGCTCTAATGGTGTCACAGGTTATTATTTTGTAGTGGTATATTTATAGACTAACTAAAACAGAATATTTGCATCCGAGCAGCTAACTACCAGCTAAAGAGAAACGTATGTAGATAAAGTTTCTTGCAAACGGCAATAAATTTTAACCTAGGCACACACTGCAGTGGCTGAAGCAGTGTGTGTCTGGTTTTACTAAAGTTTTAGTACACAAGCGAAGTTCAGAAATTACAGGCTCAAACATGCTCAAACCAAAGACTGCAGTGATGGATTTGAAATAAAGAGGGCCCAGGGAGGGATATTTATAGATAGAAGGTTTAGACTACCTCTGCTCCATCATGAAGAAGGGGTGGGGGTGTGCGGTGAGGCCTGGGCCGACTGGGACTCCCTTGAGTTCTTCATTCCAAATCTGCTCTACCACAACCTCTACAACATCATGTCATTAAGCAAATTTTGTTCTTTTCAGGAAACAGGCCGTACATATTTCTATCAGCACGTGTACATCCAGGAGAGAGTAATGCATCATGGGTAATGAAGGGCTCCCTCATGTTTTTGCTTAGTTCACATCCAATTGCGCAAGCTTTACGAGAAACTTACATTTTCAAAGTAGTTCCAATGTTGAATCCTGATGGAGTAATTAACGGCAAGTAAGTATTCATAGTTCATAGTTCACTTTAGTTTTCCTATGTATAAGTACATGCAATTGGATAAATAATATAATAATAACAGAGTACTCGTAGGAACAAGATGTTATAATCATATCAAGCATAGCCCTTTGACAAAAAAGAAACAAATTGTCTGTGGCAGTATTCGAACCTGCAACCTCTTGCACCTCTTGCTATCAAGGCGAGTATCATACTGATTAGACAACTAACCCCCAGGCACTTCATACAACTGACTGAAATGCTAACACATGTGTATATGTATATATCTATTATTTCTTACGCATTCAACAGCAAGTACACTCGCAAATTTTTAGATGGAATGATGCTTTTAATCATGGATTTTATAAGTGAGAATTTGGGAGTTAAGTTGTTTATAGTCTTTTAAAAATCCTTTGGCAGGATTTGAACCCAGGTTCCTGGGGTTAAAAGACAAGGTCTTAACCACAAGCTACATCTCCACCACTAATAATACATTATTATTATTATTATTATCATTTTAAGTCATCGGTGTTCATTAACTGGTGAGGATCTGAACCGGCGCTGGATCAGCCCAAACCCTGAACTCCACCCTACTATCTACCACACTAAAGGTTTACTCCAGTACTTAACCAACATCAAACGCCAGCCACTGGTAACTAACCAAGTTTTTTGAATAGCTTGTTTTGTATGTTTAAATATATACTGCCACCTAAAACTTGAAAATAAAAAGAAAAAGCTTAGCTTAATTTGTATATTTACCGGTTATTACTGGTAGAACAAGATAAATAAAATATACACTATGTATAGCTGACCTTTTGAAACCTTTTTTATGTGAACATATTTTATTTTAGTTGTTTATTTTCAGTTTAAGTACCTGATCAAGTATTTAGTATGTTTTCTAAATATGTTTGATTGTAGAAAATTTATATTTTTAGGTTTTTACAAAAATAACTATTGAATTGTAAGCACTTGTTATCATACTATTGTGTATGTGTTTTTTTAAGTCATATATTTAGACTTTTGAGACTTTCACAAACATTGATTTTCCATACACGTGGTCTATGTGTTATCAAAACATCATTTAAAAATATCTCTGTGCTTGTGAGTATTTAAATAGTTGAGGGAATATTTTTCATGATTGATCTGTAAATATATATTTTTTTGTTACATAACATTTCTATCTTTAGGTTTTTTGTGATTTTCATGGACATTCTCGCAAGAAGAACGTGTTCATGTATGGTTGTAGTGCTTTACAGTCCTACCTTTCCGACGATATAAATCTTTATCCACTGGGTGATAATATTGAAGACACAAGCTATAAGGTATAGAATCTTTCATATATATATATATATATATATAATCTGCGTGGTTGGCTTATCTATATACACATATATATATATATATATATATACGTATACACGTATTATATATATATATATACGTATACACGTATATATATATG